AAGAAATTGAGTCTCTCAAAAAAGTAAACAAGAACTTACAGGATACATTATTAGATACGGAGAAGTTAAAGGAAAAGAAGCAAAACAAAAAGTATGAGACTATCATTGAGCAATTAAAGCAGGAAATCAAACAGTGGAACGACAAGTTTTCGGAACAACACACCAAGTACACAAAAATAGTTTCAAAGTACAAAATACAAGAAGCTCAAATGGAGTCGCTCATGGAAAAGAAGGAAAAACGAAGTGTTCCAACACAGACAACCACAACACAAATATTAGATGCAGATGTTCAAACCATTGCTGTATCAAAACCGCTCTGTTATCACCAAGCGGTACAAGTGAATATTATTCAACCAGAGCCGCCCAAGAAGGAGTACAAGCCACCTGTAATCGATTGGAGACCTCCTGTACAGATCATTAAGGATGAAGAGCCCATGATAGATGTGGTAAAAAGTACCTACAAGCCTGAGGTAATTATCATTGAAAAGCCAACATTAATATCTACTGGATCTCAACAACAAGTAACACACAAGCCACCCAGTATCAAACCAGCCGAGGTGTTTCGAAGGGAGGAATCTCCAAAAATGCCACCACCCATAGAACAAGTTGTTTTGCCTCAAAAAGCTCCATCAGAGAAAGAAAAATCCAGAGAGGCATCTCCTGTGGTTGTTCAGCCAAAACAGGACGCATCTGAGGCTTTACCTCAACCAAAGGAGATCAGAGTTTCATTCACTGAGCCACATTCTGAAAATAGGTGCACTGTACGATTATATAACATTATACCGAATCTTACCTACTTTTTTAAGGAATGGGAAAATCTTCCCTTCTTTTTGTCAGTTGACTTTTTCAAACACGAGACACAACTTTCAAACTTGACCAATGGCGTTTCAAATGAGTTGATGTTTGAACGAATCTTTGAATTTGAAAATAATCAACTATTCCTGTACTACTTAGCAAATGGATCAATTGTGGTACAATTAACTCTTGTTCATTCTATTGACAATTGTGAAGTAATTGGGCAAGGAGAAATATATCTGTCCAATTTGATCAAGGATGGATTTAATAATCTGGTAAAAGGTACCATCACTCTGTACGGAAAAGCCAACAAAACACAAATGGCTACAGTTGATTATGAAATTCAGCTTAAGGACTCAATTTCTAGAATTGTATCACCGTACAAATCCGAAGAATTAATGAAACTTTTTTCTGACAAGATTGTTGCTCCCTCACCAATCACAGATCACACAAAATCTCAAAATCGATTGAAAATTCAGGAAGCCCTAACCAGTGGTGAGTTTAGTAATATTGGAGCAATGAATGATAGCAATATTCAGAGCAGTATTGGAGACGAAACCCTTGATAATGATCAACATGCATCATATCTAGATGAAGAGTTACTCAGCCAGCAAGTAGAAGTGGGAGATATATCTTTGTAAAGTATAGGTTACTTGTTTGTGACAATATCAAGATGATACAAGTCATTTCGCTTATGCTCAAACACTGGCATGCCCTCTCTAACTTTGGACAGTTGTGCAGACCAAGTTGACATGTCGACTATTCCTAAAAGTCCCTCAAAAGGTTGGCTCTCTTGCTTTTCCAAGTCATATACATGCTCTTGTTGGCCCAAATCCAGCAATATTTTACCTAAGAAAACAGTGGAATGATAAAATTTAACATCGGTCAAGTGAAACAATCCATGTAAAATAATAAATATGAATGCTGGTATACTTCATAACCTTACCTAATGGGTCAATTATTAACGAATGACCATACGACTCTCTTCTTGAGTTATGCCTTCCAACTTGAGCAGCAGCAACCACAAAGCATTGATTTTCAATCGCTCTTGCCTGAAGCAACGTCTTCCAATGGCCTAACTCGCCGGTGTGCTTCGTGAATGCGGCAGGAATCAACACAATTTTAACATCTCTCAATTTTCTTTGCAAAATAAACAATTCAGGGAATCGTAAATCATAACAAATGCTCAATCCGACAATTAAGTCTTTAGAGAATATGGATCCATTGTCGTCCACTAATAAGTCTTGTCCAAACTCGGTAATTTCAGATTCTTTCAATTTCACCATCTCTGTATTCAAATCAAAGAGATGAACTTTTCTGTAAATGTTTATAATTTCTCCTTGATTATTCACCAAAACATGAGAATTAAATATTTTGTTTTGATTGAATGGAGAAGTTTCATGCCAACCTCCGTAACTAATATTGATGTTATATTTTTTGGCTAAATTTGTATAGCTTTTAAATAATTCCGAATCTAGTGAGCCAGCATGAGCAAGAGTTTCAGTTGCATTATTACCCATAAATGCAAAACATTCTGGAAAGCAAATCAATGAAGCCTGATGATGCTGAGAAGCCTCCTTGATCAATTTCTCACAAACCGAAAAATTAAAGGCCTGGTTGTTGGTTGAACGAAGTTGAGCCAAGGCAATTTTCATCATTTTTTGTGTATTTTTTCCAACGTTTGGATTCGAGTGCGCGTTCAATGGCATTTTCCAAAATTTGAAAAAATGGTATGTGATCGTTCTTGCATCATCGGATCATCATCAAGTTAATATCAATATTTCAAAATTTATGTCATCAATGTAGCTACCATTAACACTTTTAAAGGGTGCCATTGGGACCAATATGTTGGTGGAATTAAAAAACGGAGAAACATTTAACGGAACACTCACAAATTGCGATCAATTTATGAATATGAATTTAGAGGATGTTACGTGTACAAGCCGAGATGGTACTAGGTTTTGGAAAATGGATAAAGTATATATCAGAGGATACACATTAAAATATATTCGAATTTTAGATGAAATTATTAACAAAGTAAAAGAGGAACAAAAGAAGAGTAGAAGTAAGCCTCAACAACAACAGCAACAGCAAACCAGTACTGCCGCTACTGCAAGCAGCGGAGCTTCTACTACAACATCAGCTCCTCAAAGGACACGTAGTCATAGCTCCGGAGCAGGAAGAGGCTCGGGAAGAAATGATTCCTCTAGGTCATCTTCATCGGGAGGCCGAGGAAGAGGAACACATCATAAAACCCATTAAATTCAAATAATTTATAATTTTATAGACTAAATGTCTCGTTTGGAGATCTCTTTTTTCAAAATGTCAATTCTTCCAAGTGAAAACAACGTTGGTTGGCTGACCAAACATGCTGGAATAGCTGAAGGGCAATTCAGTTAGATTAAATAATAATTATCGTTTATTTGACAGAGTCACAGATTCAACTAACACACTCAAGTGATGGCTACCCAATTATTTCTTGCAGCTTAATGGTGAATTTACATGTCATGAATACGAGGATCACCTTCTCTTAGAATGTTCTTCATCATGGCCTCAATAAATGTCACGGAGGAACCACTGCCACCAAGATCTGGAGTCAAAATCTTGGTAGATGCATTCTTGAGTGTTTCATTGAGAGCATATTTAATTCTTAAAGCATGATTCTTCATTCCCATATATTCTAACATTTGAACAGAGGAGAGAATAAGACCTATTGGATTTGCAATCAATCTACCAGAAATATCCATAGCAACGTGTCTATTACCTTGTTCGAACACTCTAACACTGTTCATATCATCAATATCAGCAGCATTAAATCCGGCAATGCATCCTGGTCCACCCACCAAAGCAGAAGCAGTGTTACTGATAATAGAGCCATAAAGATTTGGCGTGACAACAACACTGTTTGTGAATGAATTTGGATGCTTGACCATTTGCATGGCAGCATTGTCAATAATTAATTCACCATACTCAATATCAGGATATGACTTTGATACTTCCTTACAACATTCAATGAAAAGACCATCCGACTTTTTCATAATATTGGCCTTGTGAATAGCAATCACTTTGTTTCTTCTTGACAGTCTAGCATATTCAAAAGCCCATTTTGCAATTTTCAATGATGCTTCACGTGTAATAATTTTCAAACTTTCAACAACTCCAGGTTGTACTTGATGTTCCAGGCCTGAATATTCGCCTTCAGTATTTTCTCTAACGACCACCAAGTCGACACCTCGGAATGGCGTGAATACGCTATCAGGTAAATTTTGAGGAATCTTGATAGGAACAACGTGTGCATACAATCCATATTTTAGAGCCAACATTCTGTCAATTGACTTGCTGACATCTCTTGTCATAAATGGGCCCTTCAATACAACTTTGTTAGTGATAATGGATTGATGTACATCTGGATAGTGAACTTCTGGATCAACTTGAGACCACTTTTCCTTTCTTAAATATGAGTAAGCTGTTCCGCCAGTAGGGTTTTCAATTTCACGACGTCTTTTATCTTCTGGAACTATGGTTCTTGTTGGATTTAAATTAGTGTCGGAACCAACACCAAAGAATGAACCAGTGACAAGGTGAGTATCCCATTGAATTGGAATTCCAGCATAGTGGAACAATTCACAAACGCAACTACAAATTTCAACTCCAATACCATCACCTATAATAGTCAAATGATGATAACATATAAACATTGTTCGAAATATATTGAAGGTAATATTATTTGATATTCATCATGAGGTATTTTTCAAACAAGGAAATGTATCAGTCATCCAAATTATTATCAATACAATACGTAATTTTTTCAATCTCGATTTAAAATACACAATGATCATCTTACCTGGTAGCAAGGTAACCTTTTTCATCTCACTCTTCTTCTCTTGATCTCTAGTTATGGTTGATGTAGAATAACAGGCTTGCATCAACGGAGTAAAATTGCCTTGATGCGATGATGAAAGACGCTGATGATGGTTCTGAAGGAAACGAGAAACTGGAGCGAGTGCTTTTTTCATTTTTATTTTTACGTTCAAAAACAAATAAACAAACATTTCTTCTCGTTTAAATTGTAATTCATTGAATTTCCAACGAGTGTTGAGGTTGTTATGGTTTCACATGTTCCATTCACCATCCTGCCCTTGATATACTCAGCATTCTACTCATGAATGGTTATTTGCATGACTGCTGAATCAAAAAAGAAAAAAATGCTTTCATCATCATCATTTCGCGATTTGCAACCATTCTTCCATCCACTACACAATGGCGTCAATGCTGGTCTTAATACTGCCATTCAAAACAATGTTCATAATTTTATTACGGAAATTATTCATAATGTAGAATGCTATTCCTATAATACAGTGGAGAATCATCAACACTACAATTTCATCTTATACGGAGGCAATGATCATGTGTATTTGAGTGTTTATAAAGTAGATCATAATAGCAAGAGTGTGAGGTATGATTGATAAAAATTCAAACACATGAATGAACCTAAACTTGTTGCAATAGTGATATTTCAAAACCAATATTTATGGATGCTACACATGGAAAAAGAATTACACTGTTGGCTTTTGCGAATATGTGTGAAACCGATTATCGATTGACCTTTGCTGTAGTAGATAGTTCAAATACTGTATCAATCTATCAATCTGAGAAGAGAGTTCACTCTGGAGCTACTTTGTCTTCAAGTTCCATTAG